CAGTTATGGGCAATCAGGAAGGAGCGGCTGTCAGCTGCTGCTGTGCCGTTTGTCCCCAACAGTGGGGTCCCCCGGGGCACAGCATGGGGGGGAGCATGAGTGGGGCTGACAGGTGGTTCCAGCCTCGGGAACGTGGAAGACTGGCAGGCTGCGAGCCAGCTGAAGGAATCCAGTCTCCCTCCTTCTGGAGAACTGCCCAGCAGGCAGCACTACACATGGAGAGGCCGGCAGGAATATTGGGACGCCAAGGGACAAGGGCAGTTTTAAAGGGGGGGGGGGGGGCTGCATGTAAAACACTGTGCACTGGGCAAGGAGCTCTGGTGGTGCAGCCCTTTGGGAGGAAGATGTGCAGCCTGCCCTGTAGCTCTGGAAACCCTGTGGGCAGCTGCATGCTGCCCTATGGGGTCGCTGTGAGTCAGGGTCAGGTAGGCCTCAGGGGGTTGGGTACAGGATCAGGAGCCTTGGTGGCACCCACGAGAGTCACAAAGTCGGAGAAAGATGAGGCCGACTGCTCCTAAGACAACAGGCTTGGAGACCCTATGGGGGCAGTCCTGCCCCATCCTAAAGGCTGGCTCTGGGCTGGAACTGGCTGACACAGGATGTGCAGGGGCCCCAGCCAGACACCTGTTGCTGGGCTGGCAGTGGCGCCATGCCCGGAGAGGGCCTGTCTGCAACAGGGGCCTGTGCCAGGGGTGCAGCTGCCGGGCCCCATACCACAGCCTGCACACGGGACGGACGTGCCGGCACTGGATCTCCATGTGTTCCAAGAGCTGGGGGTGGGGGGAGGACGGACTCTGCTCTGTACAGCAAATCCTCCCTTCTAAGGCACCCTCCACAAATGTCACTGGAGACAGCCGCCTCCCAGGCCCTCCTGCCTCCACTCCCCACCCGTCTACTCAACTCCCTGTACCCCCACAGGCAGCCCTGGTAACCCAGGTGGGCTCACCCCGCCAGCCTGTGTGCACAGCCAGGGGCAACCAGCAACCTCATGGGACACAACTGCCGTTCACCTCGGAAGCAGCAGCCGGCCTCGGCCTTGCTGGTGGATGTCCACTCCTGAGCGCTTAC